GGATGAGCACTGGGTGTTGTATGGAAAGCAATTTGACAATAAATCATACATATATATATATTATATATATAATATATATAACAATGCACAATATATATATTGTACATATATATAATGACAGTAAATCATATAAATATATATAATATTATATATATGTGTGTATATATATATATATATAATGTACATGTGGTGTAAAATTGAATGAATGAAGGCAGAAATTTTCCATGTAGGTTGCATGTAGTATAGCTCAGCATAAGATTTCAGAGAAACATGAAGCTCTTCTAACAGAAAAGCCTTAAGGAACATTGATTCAGAATCCTCGTGAGTTATGGAGGAGGCAGACCCAAAAAGCATGGGTGTTTTGGCCACGATCACACCTTTGATCACATAGGACTTTGTGTTTCCTGTTAACAATTTATAATCAGATGATAACCAGAGAATTTAGTGAAAGGAATATACAACATGGTGAATCTGCTTTTAAACTTTTGTGGTTTCATTTATTTCCTCTCCCCCGCCTCCTACCCCATGCTGGGTCCATCCTATTCATGCTACTGTTTTCCTTTCCGAATCACATTTTTTTTGGATTTTGCCATGAAAGCTAAAGTCATATTGACTCATTCTGCAGTCCAAGCCACATTTTACTTTCTGACCTAGTTAACATCATGTTGCAGATGTCTATAATAGAGAAAATATATTATAGTGACAAACATACTAAATTCGAGGTCAGGGCACCCTTGGCTTGGTCTGGGGAGATCACTTCATGCCCCGCATCTTCGTTTCCTGTCAAATAAAAGGACTGAACTAAGTCAGTAGGGGTTTGACTCTTGAGCTCTGGGCTTCTAAAGGGATGTTCTAGAGCCACAGGTGAGGGCTCCGCCTTCATCAGGGCCACACTGTTTTGATCTGGTTTATTTATTGAGTTAAAATTTCATTTGAGGATAGGGATCCAGCTCTTGGAAAGAAGGGGGTAAGCGAAAAAGAAGGACTGAAGGGAGAGAGGGAGAAAGGGAAGGGGAGGAAAGGAAAAGAAGGAGATCCTTCAAAGTTCCTTCAGTTGTTCAGGCTAAACCCTGCTGGCAACCAGTGAGACTGGGGCCGAGCCAATGAGAGAATATCTGATAATGGGCTTAAAATAAAGACTTTCGTTTAGAAGCAAGTCTGAATTGAGCTGCATTGATGAGCTGCAGCTCATTACTCCTCCAGGGGTCTTAGCTTTCAGCCCTCTTCTTTACCTACCATACTGCATTTCCTTCCCTTGGCTCCTTTGTGTACAGGGCGGCGGAGCATTTGCAGTGCCACTGGGCTTATTCAGGCTTATTGCAGGAGTAGCTCGCTCTTGCTGGGCAACAACCCCTCTTCTGAAATGAATTAACTGTAGTATCCAGGCAAACGCACGCTGCCAGGACCTCATTCAGGTGGTGCCGGGGCATTTATCTCCCAACATCGGCCCTGGCCTCTAGAGACCATTAAGTCTGTGCTTCGCAGGTGCATCTTTTGTCCCCAGTAAAGCTTTCCACTTGAGCTGTCTTGCTTCTGTGTTGCCTCCCCCCTTGTGAGGTGGTCTGAATCTGTCTGAAAGGCCCATCTTCCACAAAACAAAGTGCATTAGCAAGACAAAGCTAATCAGGCTTCTCTCTCCTTCCTTTTCACTCTCCTCCCCACCTCTTTCCCTCTCTCTCTCCCTCTCTCTCTTCCTCTCCTGCTTTTTCTCTAATAGCTGTCTTGATTACTGAAAACATTAAATGGAAAACTCAAGAGAAAACACCGAGCCACCTTGGCTCCACGTTGTTGGAATAAGACACACACACAGCCCCAAACAAGCCCAGGGTTCTTCTAGAGCAACAGAGCTGTGTGTGCGTGCGTGCGTGCGTGTGTGTGTGTGTTGTGCCTCACAAAGGGCAGGTGCTGGCATCACACACAAAGGAAAGAAGTTGAAGAGATGATGTCTATTGTGCTTCTTCCATTCACTTATCAAATGAGAGTGCCTTTTTCTTTAAAATGGCATAATCACCCTTCCAGCTTGTCTCTTGCAAATGATTGCGCCCTCGGAGGGTCATTTGTGCCCAGGAAATAAGGCTTGATTTTTAAAATTAATTTATAGCAGTCTCTAAGCCCCTTTACCCAAAGTATTCTATAGTCGCGGATTGGACCCAGTTAAAACAGTTGTGCTCGCTTGACTTTACTTATCAAGGCTAATGCACTTTAAAAAAATAAATTAGGACGGAAGCAATTGTTACCCATTTACGATAGCAGCCACAACCGTCGTCTATATAAGGTTTTGTAATACCTTAGACACCCTCTTGCTTTGCCTCCGCTTCTGACCTGGAAACATCCTGAGAGGTAGTTAAGACTCTCTCCGTTTTGCGGAGAGAGAAAGTGAGGTTCAGCAACTTTAAGTGGTTCGCTGAAGGAGCACACAGCTGGTCAACAGCACAGCAAAGACTCAACCCCGGTTGTAGGAGTCAAGGTTTCCCTGCTTCAGATGGTCTCCCTGGCAAATACAGCTTTTCCCTTCTGGCCCGATTTCCATGCAGACAGTATCTGGCCTATATGTTGTCGCAGCAGAGATCTGAAACTTTGCCCATTATTTTCCCCTGTGGCCACAGTTTTCCCCAGTGTCATCTCCTTCCATGCTCCTGTACTGTTCTCTTTTCCCAAAGATGAAGTCATACCCAACCCCTGACTGGCACTGCCTTCTAGTCTGAACTGCACAGAGAATCACTGAGAGAGCTTTTAAAAAACACTGGTGCCCGAGAACAAATATTGTACGACTCCACTCCTACGAGGCACCTTGAGTAGGCAAATCCATAGAGAAGGAATGTAGAATGATGGTTCCTGGGACCAGGAGGAGGGGGGAATGGGGAGCTGTCGTTGAATGGGTACAGAGTTTCAGTTTGGAATGATGAAAAAGTTCCAATGGTGAAAGTTACACAACACGAACGTACTTGATGCCCCTGAAATGTACACTGAAAAATAGAACGGTAAATTCTGCGATGGATGTTTTGGCACAATCAAAAAAATGAAAAATTTAAATGAAAAAAAAAATTAAAATGTTGATGCCCAGGCCCCAGACATGACCAATTCTACTTCAGAATATCTA